TAATATTAAATATTAAGTTTTTATTGTTGTGTTCAAAAGTAGAAAGTTTAAATTTTCGAAATAATTTAAAGTATCTCTTGTTGTTTTTGTCATAAACATATGCAGCAGATGCACAGGAGGTGATGCTCTTTAGTGATTCTTTCATCTGTTTAAGTTTCTATTCAGATGTTTCAGTCTATTTTCTTACTTTCTTTTTTTCCCTTTTTCTTCTTTGATGTTATATTCATATGCATGTAAGACTTGAGGGTGAATTAAATTTGCATTATGTACCGTTTATCTACTTGAAGCCTCAACGAGCGCTCTTGAACTATATCCTCAGGTTCTGTGGCGAACACGTAATGTATGTGATGGACGTCCCAGCGGAGCTCACTTGCTTTCCACTGGTGTCAAAGGTTAATTGTACATTGGCAGCCGTGGAAGCTTTGATTTTCCAGCTTTTGAGAGGAATCCGGCTGTATTGTTTGCCTCCTAAATACCTTAGCTTCCCTTTGTCCAGCGTAAGAAGCTTGTTGCCGCTGTGGTTTTATACGTGGGGCTGAAAACTGCAGCGCTGCAGCAACACTGGTGATCTTTTGACATTACGGGAAGTCATTTCACTCAATGTTAATAACAAAAATACTACTTAATGGAGCTTTAAGTATAAGCCAGAGGCGTAAAAAATGACCATGATTCATGCGCATGGGGGTCGGTGTGGTCGTATATCAAGACCAATCACCTGCCCAGCTGCTGACCTTTCTGCCTCACAAATCTCACTTTCTGTCCTCTACTCAGAAACAACCTCCACCGCCAATATAAAAAAACAAGTTTTATATTGCGCGATGATTTATCTCCTTTGCACTTTGATGAGTCCTCAACATATTAAGTGTTAGCAGTAAAACCCATCATATTGCAGAAGTGGTCATTTGCAGCAAAACGAGATCAAAACAAGCAGTAAATAACCAGATGTAATGTTCCTCCAGTGAAGCTGGAGAACAAGAGAGAAATCTGTCCCTGCATGGGCTCGTATTGTGAAGGAGGAGGAGGAGGAGAAAACCTGACAAAGTGTTTGCTAACATCCTCACAGAGGCCCTTTGGAGCTCTCCGATGTCGTTAAGCCCACCTCGGCGCGCGAAAAAAATGGTGCTGAATGACGTTCAGGATGTTTGCCTTGATAATGCCAAAGCCTGTTTGTGTCTGTGTCAGGAGTTGGGCGGTTAATCCAGCCTACATCCCAGGTCCAGATATCAATACCGTGTTAGGGAGCCGTGGGCCGAGACTGGCTGTCATGCTTGAGGAGAGCAGCCTCTGCTCTGCACTGTCCGCTTCCCATGAAAGGCGAAGGGAGGGCGGGAGGCAGTGGACAGACGGTGCTGGATTTGCTGTGGTATTCGGCTGTGTTGGATCAGTGTTTCTGCCCATAAAAAAAAAACAAAGAGGAACCTGTTTGTGTCTTATCATAACCAAACATTCTCTTCTGGTTTGTTGTTGGCAGGATTTACGAGCGGGTGATAGACCCTCCTCAGATGGAGCTCACCCCAGGCAGTGGAGTGTGGCTGGGCCAGCACAGCCACAAGCACGGCCTGTTCAAGGTAAGACTTCACACATGATGCACGCGCCTAATGTAGCTGAACGTGCTTCACATTCGAGATCGGCCGGTATAATTGGCCAGATTTGTAGCAGGCTGCGTGGGGCGGGGCGGGAGGAGGTGGAGGAGGGGGAGGAGAGGAGAAAGCCAAGTGTGAGATACAAGAAAGAAGCACTGAGGGCTCGCTGAGGAGCTGCAGAAAGCTCAGCGTGTGCTTTGAAACGCGTATTCCCAAGCCCATCACAATGTTGTCGGTTTTTTAATCGTTGCTCATTTTCTCAGGCTCCTGCAAGCACTCACAGCAGGCAGGGGCCACGGCAGAGTATCGCCACGACACGCCGGCGCTCTTGACATTCCTGCCTCTCCTGCCCACCCGCCACGCAATCAGTGGGCCTTTTTCTTTTTTTTTCCCTTTTCTGTGTAACATATTGATTAACCACTAGGCCCTGCTGTGGTGTAAATTATTTCTCCTCCCCGCACTTTGACGCCGCCGCCGCCGCTGCTCCTTCTCCTCCTCCTTCATCCCTCTCTCTCTCTCGCATCAAGGCTTCAAGGAGCTCCTTCTTCTGGAGGGAGGCTCTGGTCTTGAAAGACGCAGCTCCATCATCCACTTCCCTACCTGCAGTCAGCTCAGTGCCTGGAGTCTGTCTACCCTCCATGTGCTCAAAAGTGTTTGTCAGCAGCGGAGACAGATGGTGTGGAAGAGCAGAGGCTTGTACAAAGCGACTGAGAGAAGGAGGAGATCCTCCCTTCAGGTTTACGCTGGGATACGTTGGCATCTCGCCTGACAGGTGCATTTGTAACACCTTGAATCAAGGACCTGTTGCTCAGTGACTCATAGAGAGGTTATTTTGAGCTGCAACTCAATTATCTCCTCCTATTAATACACACACTGTAAAACAAATCAAGGTTGTTGTTTTTTTCTCTTGTTTTGTTAACTTGCAGATAATATTTAGTAAAATCACAAAAAAGTAATAATTCAAATCTTGATCTTTAAAAAAAAGGAGCAAAACTGTGAATACATTTAAAATTAAAAGTCTGTATTTTTAGAAATGTTAATTAGCTTATTAAATTAAACTTTTTTAACTGTTTAAATATGCAAAAAAAAATCGATATTTGCAGATTTTTGACAAAAAAAAGTATGTTAAGGCTTGAGAAATTGTGAATAATTTTTTGGCTGTTATTTTACAGATTATCCTTATTTTTTTTAATTTAAAGAGATCTAGATAAATTGCAGACAAAATCTTTTTGATTGTAAACATTTTTTTTTTTACAAATACTAATTACACAGTTTTTTAAATCAACTCAGAATGTCGTTATTTTACACGTATTTGCCATTATTTTCACAATTTTGCTGCCTGATTTTCATGATTTGTTTTTACTAATTTCTTTTTTAGTATATTTAGGGCCAACAATGTTATTTGTTTTTATGCACAACGGGGTCCATAGGTGTGCGACTACATAAACACATACATAAATTACATTTCTCATTGCTCTTGATAACAGCTCAGCTCAACAGCATTAGTTAAAAAGATTATTTCAGAATGTATTAGCATTTATTTGGCCATGTTTTGCTTCTACCTTGGTTCCATGTCCTCTACAAGTCTGTGCCAAACCTGATAGCTCACATTATTCCAGTATGTTGTCTTATGATGTCCAGAACGCTCAGTTCTCTGACTCTTTAAGGACCCAATAAATGTTTGATAGAGCTGAGGTCATGTGACTGTCAGTGTTTGGTGATCTTCTCGAGGTATGTTTCGGCGTTTGGCCTCGCTTCCCCTCCTGAGCAGTGCTTCCACCCACCACTCCCAGACAGCTTTCATTTGACAGGACTTTTTCTTGTTGGAGTGATGTTTTTCTTTCTTTTTTTTTTGTTGGTTTTGCAAAATGTGTATTTGCGATGAAGTGGCTTTTCTATCTCTCGGTGAACAAAGCTCGGTGCATCGATCTCCTGATGGTGTGCTCACTTTTGCTCTGCCTGATCACGCTTTGGAAACAACTGAATGATTTTCCGCAAAGCGTTTTACCGTGTCATGCACTGGTGCCTCAGAAACCTTCAGTGTGGCCGCGGTTTGATGCTGAGAAATGCCCTCTTTGCTCAGAAAACAAAAAAAACAATTTGACTTCTGACACTTTCACTTAGTTCTGACGCCGTTTCTCTATCACATTGTTACTTGTTCTACTTGAAAGCGGAGTCATGGTCATATTTCTAACAAATGAACAAGTGCTGCGAGGTGGTTTATTTGAACGAGGCTTTGAGGAGATCAAATCCAACCTGAGAGTGAACTCTAATGAAAAGAACACAACTTAAGTAAATGTGAGCTTTTGTCTGAGGGTGCTGACATGGTCGGTGCCACGCATTTGATCAAACCTTCAAACAGTGCAGAATCTGAAGTAGTTTCTTCATGTCATCTTCATAGTTTCTACATTTTACAGCTTCTTGTTTCATTAAGTATTTCTGAATCCTCAAACCTTTTGATCATCTCAAAGTTTAGATTTACTAAAAACACATTCCCTGCAGGAGGAACTCAAATCAACACACCTCCCATTGCTGAGATTCACATATTGCATATTTTCAACCCTTTGCATGCACATCTTTAGGTTTGGTGATGGACTCGGTCTTCATCAGTGTTCCTCAGCTTCTTTCTGCTGCAGGAGTTGTGTTGCTTTACCGTCTTCTTTGGAAAATACCCCAAAGGTGTTCTTTTGGATGTGCTTAAGGAAACTTATTTGGCCAGATTGTATTTTGTTTCATCTTTAGAAACTCTTTTGGCAGTGTGCTGTAGATTCTTAACATGCAAGAATATTCCTCTTTTTCAAATTTCATCTGGTCAGCCAGTATTTTGGTATAAGACCCAACACTCTGTGCACTCATGCAGACCCGTATCATCACACTCCCACTCAGGACGATGTAGTCACTGTGGTGGTCCTGGTCAGACTCACACCAAACATACTGGACCCCATGTGAGCCGAGCAAATTTATCTTGGTCTCATCTGACCAACAAATGCGCTCCCAGCATTCATCAGGCTTGTTTTCATGTTCTTTGGGAAAGTTCATTCCTGCAGTTTTGTTGTTTTTTGGATGCCATCCACAGAGGTTGATGTGATGAAATGTCATTTGTGCAGCCTGAGCTGCTACAGAAAGTCTAACTTCCACTGATAATTCCTGTACCAAAGTACTTGACCATTTGTTTTTGTCGCTATATTATGTAAGTAGTGCACCGTCTTGTCCTGTAGCTCTGATTAATGGCACTGTTGATCATCTTAAACCTCTATATTACTGCTGCAGCTGTGATTTTTAGTTGGTCACTGATCTTCATGCGTCCTTTTGCATGAAGTTTCAGAATAGTTCAGTTTCACTGTTAGTTCCACATGTGGAGCCATGATGGAGACATGCAAGTCAACACAGGTTCAACAGTAAGAAAGTCATTTTAGAGCCATGTCTGTGCAGTTAGGCTGATTTGAAACCAAAGGTGTTTTTTTTGTTGTTTTTTCAGTGGTGCATGTTTTCTAACTTGTGTGCCGGTCATCACAGGTGTATTCACTTTTGTTGCCTTTATTTTTAATATAGTCTCTCTAAAGTATTTGTTTGAGGTTGTTCATAAGAGGAAATGCTCTTAGGGCTGCCACTATAGCTGAACTGGTTGAGCTGGCGACCCATGTACAGCGGCTACAGTCCCCGACACAGCGGTCGTGGGTTCAAATCCCGCTCATGGACCTTTGCTGCAGTTCCTTCCCCCATTCTTCTTTCCTGTCTCTCTCTCAACTGTCCTGTATAATAAAGGCAAAAAGACCAAAAAAATAACTTAAAAAAAAAAAAAAAAAAGAGGAAATGCTCGTCTGATCAACTTAGAAGTGATTCAGTTATTGAAGGGGGATGCGTTTTCACATTTAAATGATATTGTGCAGCTGTTAACTCACTTGTGTCGTACACTGTACATGACAACATGACAGATTTTTGGATGTCGTCTCATAGTTTATATTTGTATTACACATTTATATTGTTCATTATTGCTAATTTTGGCTACATTGCTTCTTGTTCAGGCTGCTGTTGCTTTCTGTGTGTTTAACTTATTTAACATATATTTTTATATATGTACTTAAGAAAAAGAATAGAAGGAAAAAAAAAGTTATGGTCGTCTTTATGTCGTCTTTTATTGCCCAGTCTTTAAGTTTTACGTCCCGGTCTTTAAATTAAAGGAGGATAAAGACTGGAAGCTGAGGGACACAGCAAGCCTGGGTTCCCTTAGAAGTACTAAACTACTCCTCTGTAGTATCTCTACAGCTGCATAAGTAGCACATTGTTTGCCCTTTATTTAATCTGGACACCAAGAGAAATGTCAAAACTTGTGAAATGGTCCCTACACTCATTGGTTATAGGAAAGTAAAAGCACACAAACAGAGAAACCAATATGACAAAGACAAAACACACTGTCCAACTTCATGCTGTGACTTCTTTGCTATTCTCTCCACACTTTGTCCGTTGGTCTTTTCTTTAACCTGCTAAAGGCGGGGGGATAAACAGAGCCTACTTACGTCTGCTCCTGTCCAGAGCTGAGGACGGTGTGGCGCAAAAAAATGAGAGAAAAGAATAAAGCAGCAAGAGGAGAAAGGAAAGAGAAAAATAGCCAAGAGCTATAGAAGTAACACTGCAGATAGAGATAGGAGGTGAAATAAAGCAGCCGCCGTAATCTGTCCCATTCAGGACTCAGGAGTGGGATAATGATAAGACGGGCTAACTAGGCCTTTAAATAAAACATATTGAGCTCTTGCGGTGGCTTGAGACGCTCCTCGTCCTCTCGCCACCTCCTCCTGGGAGCTCCTCCGTCTGAGGGAGCAACTGTAATAAATTATCTTTATCTGGAATCCATTGTGCCAAGGATGCTGACTCCTCAGGGACACAGCGGGCTCGTTTGGAACCGGTGCTTTTGCGAAACGCTCCGTGTTTCATGCACCGCGGGATAATAATGAATCTAACATGGACAATGATGGAGAGCTGGAGCG